AATTCTCCTCTCTCCTTGTCCCACCTACTTCCTGCCTGGCCACTGGCCAATCAGTGTTTTATTTATTGACCAATCAGAGCAATTTGACATACAGACCGTCACACAGCAAACCAGATTATCCAAAATGAACCTCATGTGTATTATAACTCTCCCAAACCTTTGCTTCTACTTATAAATTCTTGAAAATCATATCAAGTAAATGTAAAGCTATATTTAATTTTCATTATTTATTTAATAAATTTCCAATGTTTTCAAAAGACAGAATACAATTAATAATTATAAATACATTGAGATTTACATTATTTAACAAAGGGTGAAACTTGTATGCACATAGATGGATTCCGCACACGTTTTACATGACAATACATTGACATAATTTCTTGTAAAAAATTCACCTTTCCATAATGTTTAGTTTTCATGATCTCACAATGACCCCATAGACTAGAAACCAAGCACCGCTTTTCTTCTCGTAAGTGTCAGCACAAGTTTCAGATGTCCCGATGTACTCTCACAGGAAAACGATTTTACTACTGAGGAATCTTCTAAAACATGAGATCATTCAAGGATGGAAACTCCAAGGACAGGAAACCAATCTTTCCAGATTGTTTTGCTGCAAGCATCTGAATGAAACATTTCTGAAAATGTGGAAATCAATTTATGAGCATTTAATTAGAAGTAAAAAATACTAAATATATTAATATAATACCAAGGGGAACACAGTATATGAATTCCTCATAATACTGAGGTAAAATATAACTATTTGTGAAATACCTTAAAGCATTCCTACAATGTAAAAGAAAGGGGAAAAGCCCTTAGACTATTTGAATCATACAGACTCAATAACCAATTAGTTATTATTTAGAACTTTAGTAAAATTTTATATACTATTAAAGCTTTGTTAATTATATTATAAACTTCAATCAATGCATTGAAATCAGTGTGAGACCTTTTGGGGAAATATACCAGAAAATAACATTTGAGTCACTAGTTTAGAATGGAGCAGAAATGTGTGACATACTTTTATGATCCCTGAATGAACAAAGTAGGAACAAGCAAACTCTGGGAAAGCCACAAGGAAGAATGCAATGCCTTCAGGTGAGTAAAAATAAATATTACACTGGTAGACAAAGATATTGCTGAAATTATAAAGGCAATTTCACATAGTTAAAAGGGAGGTTTATTTTGTGGGATAACTCACAAGTGAAGGGATAGGCTACAGGGTTTGGGAAAGGTGTAGCACAGTCCCACAGTATTCTCTGGAGAATTCTCCTCAGTTTACCTCCAGCATCCAGGGTCCAGGAACCAAGAGAGCTGGCGCAACCACATCTCAGGTCTTCAAGATCCTCTGTTGGCCCCACCTTGTAGGTGTGACAGTTACCGAAGCCTCAATGGGGGTTGGAACTTCCGGATCAAAGCTGGAATGGCTACCCACTACATCTCCCCCTTTTGTCTAAATAAGAAGGTTCTAACCTAATACAAGACTATACACAAAGGGATGGTTATCAAATATTGTCCAGGAGTAATAATGAGGGATAGTGGAAGAAACCCTCAGGAACAGGAGGATACAACTGAAGAGGGAACTGCTAAGAAATGGGAGATGGACTTTAAAAGGGAGGGGGAGGTCACTGCCAAAGAAAGGGAGAGAGAAGGGATCATAATGCTAAGGATATTTGAAGAAGCCTTAAGGCAAAACCATTAATACTTATTATGAATTATTGTGAAATTACTTACAACACATGTAATGGTTTGTGCATACGCATACATACAAGCTTAAATGAAGTTATGTCACCTGAGTTCACAATGCTTCCCAACAGAAAGTGTAGCTCATCTAACAAAAACCTCAGCACCAGGTATGAAAACCTTCTTTTCAAGTTGTTGGTCAGGGGAGTTCAAAAGACTTCCACAACAATTTCAGCTGTTACTGTGGCCCCCAATTACCTCCCAGGGCTTGAAGTGCCATCTCTGCTGCTGAAGAAGCCATGTGCTTCAGACAGAATTCGGAAGACTCAAGAAGAATCTCACAAGGAAGCCTCCTCCCAGAAGACCAGAGGTGTTAGTTAAGCTACCAAGGAAGGGAAACAGTCAATAGTCCTACCTAGCTGTGATGCCTATGAACCACAAAATAACCACAAAATAAACAGAATGTCTTCAAAACTTTTCTAATGGTGTAGTAGTGGCATTCAGAACTTGGCAGTAACCTATAGCTCTCTATACTGTACATAAGACCTGCTTAGCAGGAATAAAATCATGTCTGATACTGGAAACCTGGTCAACTGCTGGAAGGAAATGAAATCATGAATCTCAGTCATGCATCTACCACTGCAATTTTCTTAGACCAGGATAGTTCTTCATACCAATATACATACTTGTCTTTATATCCACAGGTAAGTACAGCTCTTAGCCTTCTAAACAGAAACTTTCTTTTCTTTTAAGGTCTATCACAGGTATAGACCATCACAGAAAACCACAACTTTTTAAAACAGAGATCCACAGATCATGGTGTGCCCACCCTCCATGCATACATCTACAGCACAACTCCTGCAGTAATGCTCAGAGAACATCACTAAGGAGGGGTGTGATGCATGGAAAAGCCAGAGGACCAAGAAGCCCACTGAGAGATCGTGTCTTATTGGAAGGACAGAACAGCCTTATCCACAGTCCCTTAACAGTGTGGCTGCCTAAACAAAAGCATGAAATGTCAACACCAGTAACCTGTGAATGCTGAAGGAGGAGATGTCTCGGAGTCCTGTGACTGGGAAAGGAACTTCAGGTAACTGATGACTGAGGGAGGGAGAATTAGTCTCACAGGAACAATCCTGGAATTGGTGACATAATATCAAGTAGTCATCCCTGACATGTTTTCCACAAGCAACAGTAAATGGACACAGTGTTCTGCCCCATCTCTGTGTTAGTGTGTGTATGTGTGAGGTGTGTGTATGTGTGTGTCAGTATGTGTGTGTGAGGTGTGTGTATGTGTGTGTCAGTATGTGTGTGTGTGAGGTGTGTGTATGTGTGAGTGTATATCTGTATGTGTGTGTCAATGTGTATGTGTGTGAATGTATGTGTATGCATGTGTCAGTGTGTGTGCATGTATATGTGAGGGTATGTATGTGTGTGTGTATATGTGAGTGTATGTGTATGTGTATATGTGTGTATGTGTGTATGTATGTGTGTAAGTGTGTGTGTGTGTATGAGTGTGTGTATATGTGTATGAGTATGTGTGCATGTGAGTGAGTGTGTGTTTACGTATGTGTGTATCTGTGTATGAGTGCACATGTGTGTGTATATGTATGTGTATGTGTGTGTGTGTGTGTAAGGAAAAGAGGACATGAATTTGAAAGGGAGTAAGGGGAGGAATGGAGTTCGCATTTAAAAACAGAAAAAAAAATGTAGTGACAGTGAAGACGGGTCCTGTACTTTGAAATTCCGAATTGGTTCTCTTGGGCAGACCACATATGTTATCCTTCCTTGCATGTAACAAAACAGAGTGTTGACCTTGTGTCAGTGGCAAGACCATGATAATAAACTCTAGCAAGGCAAGGTGACATTGTAAACTTAACTAACCCACCAGTGACGTAGCTCTGAATCCATAAAACAGCAGGCCTCCCGCGCTGTCACAAAACAAACAGCAGTTATTTCCATTTTCACCCAATATGAAATTTCCTGTCTTTTGATGCTAAGTTTAGAATAGAACCCTTACTCTTGCATCTCCATGAAAACCAAACAAAAAACCAGAAACTATTCGGAAGCCCTAATTCATGATAGGCTATTTCTCATGTCCTGCCTTTGCAATTCTGACTGTTTCACACAGTGTGGTGAGAGCCTCGCTGTAAAGATGAATAAATCCAGTTTATAGAACCAGAGCTCAGCCCTGGTAGACAATGGCAAAATGTTCTGCATGGAGCTTCCCTTGGAAAGTGACACCTCTGCACCCACCCTCCT